ACCAGACACCGAAGGCACCTACCAAGGAAAACAAATAGCTACACCACAACACAGGAGGAGAGGGAGACATAGCGGGAGAGGAAGGAAGGAAGACGGCACAGGAGGCGGGTGAGATATATAAGAGAAGGAGAGAGGGATAGAAGGGAGGAGGAGAGACAGAGATAGAGAGGGAGGAGGAGAGAAGAGGAGAGACAGAGAGCGAGAGAGGGAGGAGGTGGAGAGACAGAGAGAGAGAGAGAGGGAGGAGGAGAGACAGAGAGAGAGAGCGAGGGAGGAGGAGAGACAGAGAGAGAGGGAGGGGGAGAGACAGAGAGAGGAGGAGAGAGAGAGGGAGGAGGAAGAGTTTATTTGTATTCTAAGAACACAACATGTACTGAATAGCTGGTCGTATACAATTATATGTACAACATCTGAAGGGTAAATTCTAAGGGAAACTGCATTCTTATGCGAGTCAGTAGTTCATTTTAACTAGAAGGATAGGTGTTGCCTTAACTCCATTGTGGCCTATCGAGGGGTCACTACATGTTTTGATGTTATATGGTGTCTACAATTTCTTGTTCACAAGTGCACAACACACAATACCAAGTTTGTCAATAGTTGGCAACTATCTTTGCACATTAGAAAATCTATTGGTAACGTAGATACCTTGTAATATTGTATATTTCTGCCTAACTAACCCTATTACTCTTTCTACATGTATTCGCACATGGGCTATTTTCCTTGTGCTTTCTATGTCAAGGGGGGATAGCTGATTCCTAAGCTGGTATCTTTACTTCAGCACACATACTACAAACACTGGATTCAATGTCAAAACCACGATATGCAAGTAAAACCATGATCTCCAGGCAAGATGTTATTTAAAAAGCCACAGTTTTCTGTAATGTGCTTGTCACTTGTTCGACCACCCCAGGACTTTGATATAAATGAAACAGTGCCTTGCGGTGTTATACCGAGCAAAAACTTCACCGTATTATGGTTGTTGTAGGAAGACCATGTTTCAGCCCTAGCTTTTAACTGAGAAGGCCTGTCCATAAACACTTCAAAGCAATCTATGATCACTGCACATTTTGTTCCAAAATACTAAATCTAAATCCAACTAATACTAAATCCAAAATCTAAATTGCATCGGCATAGTTTTTCTTAAAATTTCTCTATCTGGCCATATCACCAAGAATTTCATTCTAACATACATTACATTCACAACAGTAGAAAAAAGCCGTGACACAGTTGAGCCTGACACACTGAATTCATATGCCAGAAATTGACTTGACAGGTTAAGTCTCAACTTCATAAGCGTCATCATAAACATTTGAAATCTGGACAGAGAAGAACAGCTAGGTAAAAACTGCTCCAATGAAGAATATATGAACAGTACAGTCAATAAAAGTCGGTAGCCCTGTGAAATATTTAACTTTCTCATCATTTCCCTCAAAATCATTCTCAGTGAAACGCTCGGCTGTGCTCATCTAGCTCTTAAACTCAATGTTTTCCGTTCTTAGAGTCTGTAGCTCAGATAAGGTTGCGTCATACAGAGGTCCAGTAACATATCTGTCTGGGTGTGAACGCCACTCTCCTCTGTGATACACTTCTCATGTTCTCCCTGATTAGTTATAACAGCAGGTAGTCGAAAGAATTTCTTATCCTTTTCCCTATCAGATCGGTTAGTACATCCGACTATCCTACAATAATTCACCATTTTCGTGTGAAAATGTTGGAGCTCTCTCTAAACTGAACTTTCCACGCTGTAACCACGTCGCACGGTCGCACAAATGATGCCAAAATGGCCGCCTTTGTTTTGATGACGTCACGTGCAAGGGGTCTATATTAAATAAAACTAAAAAATGCCCAAAATGCTTTTGCTGAAGGAAATAAATCAACATGTGACTAATGCGGTATCAATACTAATATTACTAAACTATAATAAACACTTCCCTGGTCCTATCAGTAATGACAGTATCACTATCAGACATATGAACGTAGTCATTATCGACATAATAATTAATATCGTGTTAACTCATAACTGCCTAGGGGCCTAGTGTTATTGTAATAATAATAATTATAATAATAATAATTGTTATTGCCATAATCATAATGTCAATATTATTAGTTATTACAATAACACTAGGCCCCTAGGCAGTGGCCCAAGGATAGAGAACATGGGTTCCAATAAAACCAATGGCAATGTGCCTAACCCTAACCCTAATCCTAACCCTAACCTATTATATTGATATAATATAATATTTATATTGAATTTGATGTAGGCACAGTAGGGTAAATGACATTGGTTTTATTGGGACCCATGTTCTCTATCCTTGAACCGACATGATTATGTCAAAATTTGTTATAAATTGTAAGTTGCATGACAACAAAATTAAGTACTTGCATCGTGAGCCAAACCCTTTAGATTACATTATCGTTCTTACGTTTAGAAGATTCCCTAAGCAAAGATTACGAGACGAAACAGTTGACAGACAGAATCAGAGAACTGCCAGCCTACTGAAAAACGGGAGCTGACATCTTTACCCACGTGACCAGTGAGTCAGTGACCGCCAAAACAAATGGCGCACAGTTTGATTTCGCCGTCTATGATTTCACGAAATACCGCGTACATATAGGTAGCAGTAGAAGTATAGATGGGTGCCAATTTATAGCTAAATTACCTAATCTTTAGCAGATTTTTTAAGCTTTGTTGCCACATTTACATTAAAATCTCAAAACCCTGGCAGAAATTAATTCTCATTTCCAATAATTCAAAGTATTTCCAATGGTGTTTAGCACAGCGGGAAAGCCAGGGCTTGATGCTGCGAGCAAAGAATTTTACCATGCACACGTGCCGTCGGCCCGCCCCCGCTCGTGACCAGTTTGAACGTATAAGAACGGTCGAAGAAAATTATCTTGGCAGTTAACGGTGACGGACGTCGGAGCGCCTTTTTCATGTACATTAGTATAGCGGGGACCCAGGACGTAATAGCAGGGGCGTAGCTACGGGGAGGCCTAGGGGGGGGCACGTGCCCCCCACAAATTTTATGTGCCCCCCCCACTGAAAATTCATGCTTGATAAAAAAAATTGAATTAAAAACAATGCCGTTAAAACAGTATAATAATTAATACAAAGAAAAGTTATATATTGTGCCCCCCCGAAAATGTAAGGCCCCCCAGTGCCCCCCCCCCCCGCTGAAAAAATCCTAGCTACGCCACTGG